AAGCTCTGCCATGTATTGGTCCATGGCTCTGCTGGGCAATCCAAGAGTGGGTTTCCACATTCCCAGGTACAGCCAGAGCAAAACCAGTTTGGGAAACGCTGCCTGGGATCAGTGTTTGCCGTGAGCCAAGGATGGATGTAACCCAGTGCAAGGAGAGTGGGGGACTCCATGTCCCTCATATCCCTTTCTGTGTCCCCTTAAGGGGAGGATCACGGGGTAGAGCCGGAGCTGAGCATTTCCAACCCAAAGCTGAGTGAAAATGGCCCATAATGGGTGTGTTGTACATATGTTATTGTGCCAGTATTTTTTTTACTGTGCCTTTTTATAAAAAGGAGGAGAGAAAAAAAAAGAAAAAAAAAAAAAGAAAAAAAAAAAAAGGAAAAACAAGAAACCACAACATGGAGAATTATGTAGACTTTAAGATGCTTTTTATACGTTTTCTGTGGATCGGAAAAGAAGAAAAAGACAAACGGCCTTCTGATAATCTGTTCAAGAAAGAGGAAGAAAAAGAGGAAAAAAAAAAAAGGAAAAAAAAATGGCGATGTCTTGTAACTATCACTTACCTTAATTTATATGTTCCAGTATCTGGAACGTCACTCTGTGCTTTTTGTAAGTAGGATGTGTCTAAAGGCGATAGCTGTGGGGTGGGAAACCGGCGTGGGCAGCGCGTTCTCAGGGACGTGAACCCCTTCGCTGCCGCCGTCACCAATAAAGCAGCTTTGGGCTGACCCCCGTCCTGCTCTCTGTGTCTCTGTGTGGCCGTTCTCTCTGTTCTCACGGGTACAGACCCACCGAGCTGGGCTCATCTCCTCTTTCCCCTTCCCCAAAAGGCTCTATTGGGGTTTAACACCTCGGGAAGGGCTTTTCCCAGGCTCGGGGTCAGGAGGGAAGGTGTGAGCCGGCTGTTGGCAGGGAGGTGTGAAGAGCTGCAGGCGGACGGCCGCGTGGGAAGGCTGCAGGGGGCTGCGGGGAGAGCCCCTTCCATAGGGCACCAGTCCTAGGAAGGAGCCCTCAGAAGGGCCAGCATCACATCTGTCCCTCCCCTTTCCCCCCCACTTCCTCACCCAGCGCTGTTTGCGCTCAACCCCAGCGGCTTTCATCTGCGACTCATCTTCTCCTTCCTCTGCCCCCCGCCTTCCTCTTCACCCAGCATCTCTATCAGAGTTTTTTTTTGTGTGTCTCGAGCTGCACTTACTTTCCAGTTTCGCTCAAACTTCTCAGTTATCAGTGCTAAAAATACACCCTTGGCAGGAAATCAGTGTGTGCTAAAACACCTCAACCCAACACACCCCCGCAGCCCCAGGATGAAGGAAGAGCCCCCTCTGACCCTTTATTGGGGTGATACAGGCAAAGAGGCTACAGGAACCCCTGGACAGCCCCTTTGTGCACTGTGCCTTCCCTTGGCTGTCCCTGTGGGGCACCCGGGGCAGCTCAACACCCACCCTAAGCACCCATTTCCAGCAAAACCCCGGCTACGTGCTCCTGCTCTCCCTCCTCTTCTTGCAATGGGGGAAGCCCAGCACTGGGTTGGAGCTGCTAGGAGTTGGGGGGGGTGGGCTGCACAATGTCTGGAAGTGGGGAAACACCAAAATATGGAAACAGAAATCATATTAAAAAAAAAAAAAAGAAAAAAAAAAAAGAAATGAAAGCACCCAGCGTGCCCCGGGGAGCAGCGCAGGCAGAACACAGCGGCCTCTCCCTCTCTACTCGTGGGCTGAAAAGTAAATAAATAAATGCATTAATAAATAAAAGGGCAACGAAGCCCTGCCCTGCTGCTCTCACATACTTGGCGGCTGCGTCGGGACAACTCGCTTTCATCTGTGCTGCTGTGGGACGGTGTGGGACGTCCTGTTTATCCTCAACTGCCGACAACTCGGTGCCTTTCAGAAGGAGTGAGGGGACAAACCGGGCTGGTGGGGACACGGCTGCTGCGGAGGGAGCGCTGCTGTGCCACTGCCGGGCCCCAGGGATGCACCAGCATCGGGCTGAAGGCTCTCCTGGCCCTGCAGGGAGGAAAGCTCTGCGTTAGTCATTTTTGCTGCTCTCTCTCATCCCCCCAATTGGAACACACACCCTTTTTTTTTTTTTTTTTTTTTAAATTTGCATTTGGGTCACTTCATGTGCTGGGCTTTGTGTGAATTGCTGCTTTCCCAGCTGCTGGCGGCGCGGGGGGACTTGTGTTAGTGCTGCAATAGGACAAGAACTGCTCCTGGCAGCAGCCCCGGCGAGAAATATTTGTGAATCGGGACGGGAGGGGTGGCAGGAGACGGGGAAACTCGTGTGAATCCTCTCCAAGCTCCACTTCTAGCCAGTAAACTGGGAATGCTTGTGGGAAATGAAGATAAAAGCAGATGAATCACAGGGCTCGAGCAACGCACACATCAATTCCTATCCATTCGTCCATCTATCCATCCATCACCCACCCACTTGTTTACCTACCTGGGCTGGACGTTGCCCATCCCAGCACTGTGAAATCAGAGCCTGTCGATGGGACAGCTTTCCCCAAAGCAGCCCCCTGCATCTCCCACCTCCCCCCGAACATTTTTGCTGTTTCCCACACCACATCCCTTGCAGATGATTTAAAAAAATAACACTCTCAAGCCCTCCGAAGCGTGTTTTTCTCTTCCTGCCTCCTAAGAGCAGCCGTGTCCCTGTCAAAACCAATTCCCCTCCTTCCCCTGGCCCCAGCTCCCAGCCCCCGGCTGCTTCTGGTTTGCCTCAGCTCAGCGCTGTGCTCCTGCAGCCACAACGTGAGCCAAGAGCGGAGGAGGAGGCGCACGGGAGATGAATTGAGCATCTTAAACACAGCTGGGAGCACTTCCCACGGCACTGCTGGACAAAGCCGTGGTCCCATTGTAAAGCTCCTCTATATGGCTCTACTGTACAGCCCTGCTGCATGGTCCCACTGCGCAACCCTGCTATACAGTGCTGCTGGGATGCCTCCATTGAGGGGGTCAGCGCTGGGTTTGTGCTTGCCCCCATTAGGTGCAGGGGATCACAGTGACAGTGCAGGTGATGCTCCAGTTATGTCCCAATAACCGTCTCGTGCTTTTCCAGAGCCAACAAATGAAGGACAAGCTGAGCATGAGTGCATTGTAGCTGATACAGGCTATGTATCTCTCTCCCCAAAATAACTCACCCCAAACTGTACTCTGGTCTACGAGCACCTATCAGACCTGCAGACACAAGTCATCTTGGGGGGGTCATGGGGCCTGCTTCCAGCCGGAGCATCCCATCCCATCCCATCCCATCCCATCCCATCCCATCCCATCCCATCCCATCCCATCCCATCCCGGACTCCTAGCAGCTGTGTTCAGATCATCTGAGCGATGATTTATGGGGTAAGAGCATCCCGTGCCGTGCTGTTTGGCTGGTGGGAACAGGAAGGGAGGTGGGAGCAGAGCCCGCTCATCACTACATCTGTAACACCTCTTAGGTTCCTGCACAGCTGGGAGGGATTAACGGCCCGTCCTGAGCGCTGAGCGGGGATCTCACCGTGGGCCCTGCGGGTTGCTGTGCCCCACGGAGCCGGCTGGGGAGCCACAGCCCTGCAGTCCGCATTGCTGCCTGCTCGCTCCTCCTGTGGCTGCCTCCGCCTCAAAGCCTTCCGATTGCCGAGTGCAGGACTTCAGCATCCCCACGCGGTCAGAGAGATCTGGTTCTCCCCGTTCGGGGAGCAGGGAAACCGGAGCCCTGGCAAGAAGAGCGCGCAAAGACATCTGAAAGCATCTCCCCAGGGCATCCCTCTGTGCCTTATCTGCGAAGATGGAGATCTAACGGACCACTACTGAAGGCTGAGTAGAGGGTGAGGTTCATCCAAACACGTTCCTCACACTCCCCTCCGTCATGCAGGCACCAGCCCTGCCTCGACCCACGCAAGTGAGCAAAGCCTGCCGGGCACAGCCAGCTGCCAGCACTGGGAAAGGGCACGGGCTGCTCCCATCCCTTGGAGGGTCACCACCTGGTAGAATATTTACCTGCTGACTGCCGGGGGCTTCATTTTCTCTCCTGCCATCAGCTGCCTGTTGCTGCTCCAAGCTGGGTTTAATCAGCACATGGATGGAAGACACAGGTGCTTCTTTTAGGGGGTGAATAAGAAGAGAAGAGGCAAATCTGTCAATTATTAATGAAGGGAGGAAATCTGGTTCCTGGTGGATTCGCATCATAGAATCACAGAATGGCCAGGGTCAGAAGGGACCTCAAGGATCACGAAGCTCCAACTCCCCTGCCACATGCAGGGCCACCAACCTCCCCATTTCATACCAGACCAGGCTGCCCAGAGCCCCATCCAACCTGGCCTTGAACACCTCCAGGGATGGACGGGGCATCCACAGCCTCTCTGGGCAGCTGTTCCACCACCTCACCACTCCCTCTGTAAAGAATTTCCCTTGACATCCAACCTAAATCTTCCCTCCCTCAACTTAAAACCATTTCCCCTTGTCCTGCTGTTATCAAACTTTTCAAAGAGTTGATTCCCCTCCTGTTTGTGGGCTCCCTTCAGGTACTGAAAGGCTGCAATGAGGTCACCCCGCAGCCTTGCCTTCTCCAGGCTGAACAAGCCCAGCTCCCTCAGCTTGGGGGAAAGGGGCATCAGGGTGAAAAGGCAGCAAAAAGCCATTGGTGTTTCTGCACTGCACCAATGGCCTCACAGCACATCAATAAATATTGCATTGAAGAGTCAAAGCCTCACTGAAGGATGCCAGCCCAGCCCAGCAGTGACATCTGGGGGCATCGGCTCCTGGTGAGGTTGGTACCCATCCTACACGGCCCTTCTCTTCCCCCTCTACCAGCGATCTCACAGCTCTGCTGCCTGCCCTCAGCCCATGGAGACACCGCAGTGCATGAGAGGCACCAACAATTCAGGCAGGTTTGTGAGCAGTGTGAATCAATAAGGAGGAACGGTGGTTTTATATTGTTTATTTTTTAAAACATGAAACCCAAGCTGAATAGAAACCACAGAAATTACATTTAGGGATTTTTTTTTTTTTTTTTTTTTTTTAGTATTTGCAAACCAAAAAGTTACAGTAAAAAATAGCTACATTACAATCAATAGAACTACAGAATTAAAAGTAAAGATACAAAAATGGGCTCAATCCTCTTTAACCCTCACAATTTAAAAACATTTTGGGTAAGTGCAGGAACACTCGAAAGAAACTAGCAGGTCCAAAGTTTAAAAAAAAAAAAAATTATATATATTTATATATTATATATGTATATAAAGTGGTATGATATACAACCATTATGGTTAAGAAGTAGAACAGAAAAGTTACAAAAAGGCCAGGAACGTGTTCATCTTTAGGTTTCTGTGCACAGTGTCCAAGAAAAGAACTGCCCTCTGAATGATGCAACTACGACTCGTGGGGCTGCCCCACTACTAAGGGACCTGAGGCACGCGATGCAGCAGCAGAGCACCCGGACCCAACGTGGAGGACAACAAATGGAATGAAGCTGTTTGAGGAGCCCAGGGCCCCCCGGGGGCAGAGGCTGCTGGAGGAGCCTCTGTGTGAGATTGGAGGAGGAAGAGGAAGGAAGGAGTTTGGAATTGCATAGCGAGGAGCGATGTGGTATCAAATACGCAGAGCACCTAAGAGCTTCATGCTACAGTTCTCCTCTTCTGGAAAGGAGTGTTTTGAATGTTCTGGTTGCATGCCCTTTTGGGTTCTGCTTTAGGGCTGGGTGAGCACCGGGGAGCTCCAGGCTCCGTGACAGCCCCTCTCTTGGGCAACGCTCCTCAGGGGGCTCAGCTGGGGACCACACTGCTACCCCCCAAAGCACAGAGCACTCATTAGCACTCTGTGGCACATCCAGGCACTGCCACCAACACAGCTGATGCTTCTGCTGGACCTCCTGGGAGGAGTGGAGAAGCCACTTGCAGCTCCCACCTCCATCACTTCTGGAAAAGGAGAGCAGGTGGTGATAAAAGAACCAATCCGGTTACAGGACAGGCCCCATCTCTCAAGGTGTAAGACCTACACCTCAGAATCTGAAAGAAGGCTTTTCCCCTCGCAGCCCAAGATGTTCAGTGAGTTACACCGACTGATTATGGGGGGAAAGATGTTGGCTTCTCCTTGCTCCCCCTGTAGGAAGTGCTGCATAGACCTGTGCCCACCGAAGGAGAAACCCAACTAACCCAAGCCTACGCCAGGCAGGGTGACTACAACCAACAAGCCACAACACTTCCCTTCAGAGGGCTCAGCATGTGATTTCTGTTGCTGCTAAAAGGAAATGATAGGACCAGATGTTAAACATGGGTTTATCCATACGGGGATCTGTACCTTGCTCATATAGGTATCCACTCACTCCTGCCTGCTAACACCTGGCAGCACCCGGAGTCCTCATGAGCAATGGCCAAGCAGCCCCCTGAGAAAACATTTACTCTCAGAAAAGCCAAACTTTTCGTGTGAACACAGCATATTTTTAGGGAACAGCTATGGAAATCCTGACTTAGGAATCACTGAAATCCTCATGCACTGCGTCCTCCTCAAAGCACTCAATGAACATCCTTGCATCGTGGCTGAGATGACTGTACACGGAAAATTAACAGCTATCAAATGGAGAAAACTTAAAAAGGACAGGAGGGGAAGGGAGCACTCCATCCTTCACATTTGGATACATGGATGCACGCTACAAACCTTAGCTTGAACCCTTTTATCAGCACATAAAATGAATTCAGTTTAATAATACATACAGGATACAAACACTACAGTTATATTCCCAAGACAGCACAAGAAATTCACAGCCAAGTCTTGATTTGATTTCCTTTACAATTACAATGCAGTCTTGAACACTGGACACGAGAGTCCAACATGCTATTTACATTTCACATTGTGGAGATGTTCGTGTGCTTGGAAGAGTTCTCAGTTTCAAAAGAAAAAGTCATTCACACATGATGATGTCGTGGAAATAAACCAAGCCAACCAGACAAGCCAATGACCACATTTGTGCTTCTGAAAAAGTAACATGAAGTGCCTTCAGCAATGCAGTCGCCTCCAGCTGGACCAGCCTCCCTCCTTCCACAGTCAGCGAGGTGTCCAGAGGCCAATCTCAGCTCCCCTGAATTCTGGACCCCTTTGTCAGCAACCAGTAACATGATAAATGTTCTGATAAAGTCAGCTGGGACACACCAGGCGATATGGCCTTGGTATTTTGTCACATTAAGAACAAAGACACACAACGGAAGAGAGAGAAATCTCTACAGCTTTCCCTCCTACAGCTCGAAGAGTTTGGACTCCCTCAACCATGAATGCCATCTAGAACAGATGAGTCTTTGCCAGATAGCACCTGCTGTTCACTCAAGAGGGAGGCACAGAGTCTGGGAGATCTTGGCTTCTGAGAGTCCCCTCCTCAGACAAAATGTGACCATATGGATGAGACTGATTGTGTCACAGCCATAGGAATAGGCAAAGGCCATCTGTTCTTCAGCAGATCTACTCAGACCAGTCTGCAGAAATGCCATGCTGTTGCTCAAGGTTCCAGTTTAAAAGAAAAAAAAAAGAAAAAAAAAACAAGAAGAAAAAAAAAAAAAGGAGAAAAAGTAATAACAATACTAAAAGAAAACCAAACCGTTTGTCTGTGTTTCCTATCCAGCGCTCTGCACAGCATGCAGCGGGGCAGCAGAGTTCCAGGATGCTTTACAAAAGTGCAATATCCATGTCAAGTAAAGGAAGTGCTGGCTGGACAAAAGTACACAGCTCACACTGCAGTCAGGTTATGCTGGCCTCCAGAGAGCAAAATGTCATCTCCAAAACACTCTTTCCAGTTATATTTTGAAGTCAGAGAGCACATACCTCCACATCTGTGCCTTGCTGCAAGCCCCAGTGTTGTCAGAAGTTGTTCTGGGTGGTAAGGGTGGCTGTGCTGAACCTTGGAAAGAAGCAAGTCAAGGTGGCTGCTGCATTAGATGCTGCAAACAAGAGGCACAGGCTTCCCCACTACCCCTGTAGCAGCAGGCAGCGCTGCTGTGACAACTCAGATGCAGCCCCTTCCGAAGTGCAGTCACACACATGTTCCAGACTCATTCTGTACACAGCAGAGGCAATATACAGAAGCACCTGTCTTCACAGGGTTCCCCACATCCTCACCTCAAGCTTCCAGAACACTTGCCATCAGGGAGTTGGATCAGGCCACAGATTTAGGGCATCCCCTCCCTAAAAATGGTAACCTAAGGAGCAATCTGGGCACATCCTTGAAGGGACAGAACAATTTGGTCTTCATCAGGATTATATGCATCTTGCTTCTTTCTTCAAAGCAAGGGGAAGGCTCTGCTGCTCCTAGACAGCAATTCTACACTTCGGACCCTGCGAGTTAACTATGCCACATGCTCTACTCCTAGGTTTTCCTTTAGGACAGGGTGGAAAATCTGGCGCTCGTGAGCCACAGTGTCCCTCCATGCACCCTGCAGCACTCTCCCTGCCCTTGTTATTTGATAACACTGAGGTATATTTCAGTGTGAAGCCCATCAAATGTGTCTGAAAGGCCTACTCAGTCCTGAGCAAGAAAATCCTGCTTCCAGAGATTTACGGTGAAGTTTTTTCCCCAATTCTTATTCTGCGATGCCTCTTCTTCCCTTTCCTTCTCATCCCTTTGAATGGTAAAAGCCGGCCTGTATTTTTTTCAGTCTGTTAGTCGTTTATCTTCTCGTGAGGAGCACAAAGCTTGCTTTCCACACAGCTGGTACCCTTTCACAGCCAATACCATCATCTCAGCCACCTGCGAGGAGCAATTCTTACCTCACTGCAAGAAGGCAACTGACTTGAGGAAAGGCAGATCGGTAGATTTTGCGCCTCGTACAGCAAACGTGGGATCAACAGACCCTGAGTCTGAATGTCATGGAGGTGAAGATTAACTGCCTCTGCCAATGGCTCAGCTCCAGTTTGAGGGATATTTCCCACTCCGTCTCTTCTGCCAGTTGTTTAATGCCACACTCAGCAGCTACACACTAAGATGCCCCTGCTCAGAGGTAAAACAAACTGAAGAAGTCACAAAAGAACATCATAGTTTCCCCACTGGAAGGTCATTACTCTACAGTACTACCAGCCCATCATGAGGCAGACTCCTCTTCCAGTGGGAAGCTGCCAGTGCCTGTTGGAGCACTGCTCTTCAGTGGGAAGTACAGCACCAGTGGAGGATGTTGCCCTTTGCAGGCACCCAGCTGCCCCTTTGCAAGCTTTGTTCTGCCTCGTAGCTAGAAAAATGCCTATGTGTGCCTTAATATGGTCAGAGAGTGGTTAGCAATGTGCCTTGAAAAACAAAAACAAAGAGAATAAAAACATGTTCTGATAGTCACGACGTTATCCAGATGGCATCCGGGCTTCTGATTCTGAAGCACAGAAGATACACTGAGGATCTTGTGAGTTTGTTAGGATTGAGGCTCCAAAAAACCTCCTTCAGTGCCAGTTCAACAACCCTGTGCTGTAAATGGTGATAAAAGAAGAAAACGAGAAGAAAGTCCAGCAGAGTTCACAGGTCACTCTTGCAGGGAGAGCTTGCATTTACTATAAATCCATCGGTGCTTGTAGCCCCTCTTGTTTTCACAAGCTGACTGTCCCATAAGACTTAGCATCAGAGAGCTGAAACTCTTTAGTGCAAAAATCCCCACCACAAAGTCTTTTCCTGGAAAAGTTTGGCACCAAGTGGGCAGTGGCTGGCTCCTGTTTGATCTGTGTCAGCCTGGTAAAGGCAGCACCCTGCTGCAGAATGCCCTCTGCAAGTACCTGGGCTTCCCTGATGGAGCAGAGAGGTCAGGTTCAGAGCAATGGCCAGGGTAGTTAAAAGGTGCTGGGATCCTCTGCTCCTTCTCAAGAATTCACATGCTAGCTACAGTGGGAAAGAAAAAGGCATTCTCTTAGTGGTTTAAAAAAAAGAAGTTATCAGGGTAGTGGAGTGGTTTTTTTTTTTTCCTAGAACAGAACCACAGGCTCCCAAAATACAGTGGATGTGCAGAGACAGCAAGAGGCAGGGGTTTCCCTTCCCCCACACAGGGCACTGGACCAGGGGACTCCCACCACGATGCCACACTGCGCATCAACTCAGCTTCCCCTGGTTGCACGTTGTCACAGACACCGAGCCTCTGCCTCTTCAGCATCTGACAGACCGAGCAGCTCTGCTGATCTCACAGCAGAAGATCTACCACCATATTTCACCACATTCCTCTGGGGAACTGAAAGAGAAAAAATGCAGGCAGAAGATTATTCTGACAAAGCTGGCCCCAGGCAGGTGGAGCCCAGGGCAGGCAGGTGATCTTTCAGCTGCTCTGCCTGCACATGCTTGCTCTCTCTTGTACATCAGATACAACAAAGCAAAGGCTTGCATTCAAAAAGGGCTTCCACTCCATTGGGCAGGTATGAGGTTGGAGGAGCGTTCTGAGCTGGAGAAACTGAAGGAGCTGCACTGGATTTGGGGCAGAACAGCAGGATTGTTCTACGAGGACAGCACAGGGGCACAGCAGTTGGCACATTGTTTTGTCTGACTGCACATGTGGGTTTTTGTTGGTTTTTATTGTGTTGCTGTTTTTCTTTTTGATTTTCTTTTTCTTTTTCGCTTTCTCATCTTAATGCACATTGCCAGCATCTGGACGAGGTTGGTTGGTGGCGAGGTATTTGGCTCTCATGCTGGAGGTGTACTGGAGGAAAACAAGACAAGAAAACAACAAACAAACAAAAACAACAGAACAGAGAAGTCAGAATAAATATTAGAATGGAACAACAGATTGCAATCACTTCCCAGCACAACACTGGCAGCATTTGCTGCATATCAAGGAGCTGCTGGCTTGGTTTGACAAGGAAAGTTTCAAAGTCACTGTGTAGAGCAACACACTGGTATAGCCTGCTGCAAGGATGCTGGCCAGGTCAGTGCACATGGGCTAATGATTTATCCAAGCTCTTTATAGAGAATGAAGTCCTATAGTCATTGAATCAAAACGTGCCATATTTCACTTGGAAGAAGAAAGGGAAGTGGAAATGATACAGATGTAAAAACCCACCTCACACCTTCATCCTCTTTTAGTCATGCTGATTCTTTCAACCATGCCAGAAAAGGAGGTTGAAAAGAAAAGAGGTGTAAAGTTCATTGCATTTCTCTGCAATGAGATCAGCAGAAGATTGCACACATCACAAATGGACACTTTGAAAGGAAAGCGTGGAAGAAAGAATCCTGTGAACAATTTATGCCTGAGAAAGGACAGACCCAACCAGACTGGAAACAAGCTGCCATCCAACAAGATATTAGCTATTTAATAGTTATCAGGTGGTTAATTATCCACCATGGCATGGGATCCAGCCTGTGTACCATGCAGTGGTAGACAAGACTCCAGCCTGGGGGTGAGAAAAGAAGCTCACAGAGGTGTGAGGTGCCTTTGCTTTGGGTTGCTTTACAATTTTTTGTTTAAAGCAAGGTAATCCCAAACTGCTCCCAGAGGCTACTGAGATAACACCTGCCATCCAGCTTTGGATACTGAGCTGAAAAGCATGCAAATACACTGCAGTAAGAACAAGAGACTCTTTCCTCTTTGTTTCAATGCGTTCAGTGCTTTGATCTTGGCCATGTTAGTGCTTCTGGGATTCAGCTACCACGATACTCCAAACCAAGCAATGAGGACAGGTGCTTTTTCCTCTTTTTAATACCAGCAGGAGCTTGAATAATTCTGTAAATCCACATCTTACTTCCCAAGAGTGCTCTTCAGCATACTGACTTATTATCGCCTTTAAAACTGCACCACATAAAATAGCCAGTTAAGCTGGCAAAAAAGACAACTGGAAGGCAGTTCCACACCAGGAGCTATGATTTATCTTGCCCACTGGGAAAGAACATTATGAGGCATCCTTAGGCTTTCAAAAGCCTGGCTATTCAAAGGAGGTTTCAGAGAATTAACAGCATTTTCAGTTTTCCTTCAAAGACCAAACCAGGCTGAACCTGTGTACAGTAGAAGAGAGATACTGCTCCTTCATCAGGGCTGACCCCACTGGCAGAAGATGAAGATACCTGGGGCTCATTGGCACACTTATCTTTTACTATCTTCCATAACGGGAAAATTTTCTGCAGAACGTGGATCTTAATATAAAACTCTGGCCCAGAAACAGCATCTATATTTAGAAGACAAAGGGTCTACACGTTCTTTCTCTTTTTAAGATTTTTTCTTTCTTTTTGCCAGTGAGAAAGAAAAGGTTGAATATGCCAAGCTGAGCCAGTTTGAGGACTGTATTCCATGCAGTTTATGAAATACGATTGCTGTTTCAGAAATGAAGTTTAGGGCATTATTAAAACATGAGACTAACCCAGCAGGCTCAAAAAGGCTTAGAAGTCAAAGAATTTTCTCATAAGATAAGCAGGACACATTCACAGATAGCATAATGTTGAAATCTCCAGCCAAGCATCACGCTATGAAGAACATCTTAGAAGGCAAAATGCATTTGATTGCTCATTTTCCATTTGTATCCCATATGCAAAGCATGGTAGGAGATGAGCATGAAAAGAAAATTTGCAGTTGTTAAGGTTTTGCAAGATGTATTTTGAAAAGAAAAAAAACCCACCAACTTCTAGGATCATGGAAATCCTATAGATTCAGTGCACAACTTGCAGCATCAATTTTCTTTAGAACATTAACAATCAAGATGAACTGCTTGATGAACCATATTTCAATAATGTACCCATTGTGGAAAGAGAAGTGGAAAAGAATTTGCTCCTTCCTCCCCAAAGAAAAAAAAAAAAACAAAACCAAAACAGTCAAGCAGAATGCATTTTTACATTCAAACCTACCTGCAATCCACCACAAGGAACAAATCAAGACTCAATAGTCAGAGTTAGGGCTGATGTTCTCTCCTTAACTCAGGATTTTTGTACCTTACAACCTTTTCCCATTACAGTTTGAACTGGTTACTCCTTCTGCTAAGGATATTCCTAACAGCCATGACAAGTTGGGTTGAAAATTGGAAACGGCTAGAACTTCTGCACACCTCTTACAACCAGCACAGCACAGCTCCGCAAGCATGCACCAAATATTCAGTAACTACATTAGAATCACTGCATGAATGCTTTGCTCCACATGCTGTCAGCATCTCTCGTCTAAGCACTTTAGTGCACATCCTTTGCTGTGAAGCAATGGGAAGATGCTGTGGAATACACAGACCCCAACATCTGGACAGGCCAACAAATGAAGATGTATCAGCAGAAACTCGCCAGTCACATGGATATGAAACCAAACTATACTATTCACTATTAAAATAACTTAGAAAATAACTTCTTTTAAAAAGACCTAAAGACTTCTAAGCCTGAGCACAGTTTGGAGCTAAGGAAGTCTTGGTCTCTGCTCTCAGGTGACCTGGATACACTGCCTTACACAGCCATCATGCACACAGTTGCATTTAGTTTCCTTTAAAGACTTGCATAGAAGGCAAAGAACATGCACAATGCATCGATTCTTCCAGTACTCTCAGCCCCCAGGTCCTATATGCCCTCTTGTACCCTTTTAAATACAGCAAGGAGGTCAATGCCTTCTCCCCACTCTCAGCCACCCCAAGCAGAGGGCCTAACAGACTTCTTGCTGCTGTTCCTCCAGGTGGCCTGTGTTAGCCAACACAGCACACCTCCCAGGCACTTACCAGTCAGCTAGGACAAACACAGCTGATTGCACAAGAGTTTATTTTGCATCTCTTGAAAGAAAAAGAATCATTCACATTTAGCCTTGTTGAGGGCATAAACTTTCATAGGTATGGTTAGTGAACACGTGAGAGTGAGGGGATTAACAGAAGCGGTTTGCATACAAAGGAATCATTTGTTGCAAAAAATACTAATAATGAGAGTAATTGGTTAATTTTAGAGACCATAACTTCTACCAAGTCCTGTGAACTGTGCAGATCGTGAGTACTTCACTGCTAACAGAGCTGTTCTGGAAGATCACTTACCGTGTGAAACCATGACTCCAAGTAAAAACCATTGACTACTTGTTAAAATAAATACATCTCTTTGGCTACCCTGACTTTGATTTCCTGCCAGAGCTATTTTAGTAAGCCAATAAAGATCAAAGTTTCTGGAGTCAAGTTCTTAAAGGTTGATCCACCTCTCAAATAGCTACAGCACAGTAAACACAGAGTTTGGTATCATTATGAATGGGAGGTACAAATGGAGGGAAATAGCCAATTCCAGCCAGTGGGTTCTGAATTCAAAGAGATTTAAGTCGACCAAGTCCAAAGAACAGAGTTTCTGTTTGCTTTGTTTGTTTTTAAAGTCTTGGAAAGAATGCAATGACTTTTTCTTAGCCCTGCAGACAGACACATTAACTCTGGGTGTGACCTTAGGGAAATAGAAGACAGTGAAGTCTGAAGTCATGTTCCGGCCCAGAGGATAATTCAAGCCCAGTATAAAGACCCTAGAATTTTCCCCCACCAGGCAGTACTTTATTTCATGGGACAGACTCATAAGCAGCCTTCTGACTTTGCTACAATACCACCTGCAGGAAGCAGAAAGACCACCATGAGCCCAGGAGCAGTCTTTACGAGGCTTAAGACTGAAGGAAGTTGTGACCCTTCCATGGGTTCCAGCACCATGCTTCAAGACAGGTTTGTGTTCATGCACCATGGCAGAGGGCACTGAGACATCCAGGTCAGACAGCACGCTTCCCAGCACGTCACAAGACAAGGCAGACAAATGGCAAGAGGCAGCAAGAGCACAGACCAAGCAGCAACATGACAGAAAGGAATCCAATGCAAGGCTAAGAGAAGTCCCAGCAAGAACAGCAGAAATGAAGGAATAGCAGCTTTATGGACACGTCTTCCTGGGAACAGAATTAAGACAGGGGTCATTGACTGCACAGGCCAAAAGCAATAGCCCCTTTATTCCAACTGGAACCAGCACCTTCCAGTCACTGCATGGCTGTAGCTCCCTTGGGGAAACACGCTGTCCTTTACACCAGGTGAGCTGCCTGGGAGCTTTCATTACACCCTGTATTCAACCAAGCTGAAAACTCCAAGGCCTAATGCAGACCACCTACTCTTTCTGTATGCAAGTGGCTTTCTGATGGACTACTGTGAGGGAAGACACATTGGCTGTCTTGGAGACTGTCAGCAACAACAGCACATTGAAAATTCAGACAGTGAAATGATGCTAAGGGGGCTCTGTTCACAGAGCCCATGGGAGATGGATGAAATGAGTCGGACATACACAGAACAAACAAAACAGTAAAAGGTTTTGAAACAGAATGAAATAAATATTAGTGCTTATGCCTGGAGCCTTAGGGGAAGTTGTCTTTAAACTGACTCCTTTCTGACTTTAAATGCAAGGAGAAGCTGCACACAGTTCTAACAGGCACTGAAATAACTCTTTAGGACAGGCCACCACTAGCAACCACAGCCTTTCAACAAATTAAAAATCCTACTGAGGAGCTTAAAGCACGTGGCAGATAAACATCTGTGGTTTGGGGCACATGCTGCTATGGGCAGTCAATACAAAAAGAACAGCAGCAGGGATCAAGGGAAGCTAAAAAGCTGAAATAAGAGAACTGGTCCTGACTGAAAAGCTACTAGATTGGTTCTCGCTTTAAAGCAGCTTCTTGGGATGGAAGAACTTCTATTCTGCATTTAAAGTGCACCACTAATTCCACATTTAAGCAGCGCTCAGGACTAAGTGTTGAAGCTGTTTTCCAGTGTGTACTTTGAGCTAAAGCAGCCATGAGTTGTGAGGCACGGGTCTCTGTAGCCATCACATCGAGCACCAGAAGCCTTTCCAAGGTTAAATCTGCTGCTTGAGTCTGCACCAGAGCAAAACTAAGTCATTTTAACCCTTGGCAGGAGGGAATGGGGTGGGAGGTGCAGAGGAAAGGAATGTGAAGAAATAAAAGGCACTGGCCTGGGATAAACAGTGCAGGGATGAGGAGAGGTCGGGAGTGGAGAAGGGGTTGAGCAAGAAGGACCTTTTTGTTTCCAGTACCTGTTCCATTTGCGGGCGCTGTTACCAGTATGTCCGTGCACTGTCCGAGGGCTTAAGCTGCCAGCTCATATGGCTGCTACTGTCCATGGCAGCCAAATACAACTGTGATGACGCAAGAAAGAGAGAAAAAGAGAGTGCAGCCTCAACGTGCATGAAAAATACAGTGCAAGCAAGTGAAACGCTGTGGTGTGTGTCAGTGACAAGGTGGGCTCTACAACCCTAAAGGAACAGCCCTGTGGCAAGAAGGAGAAAACAGAAGGAATGAGAAGAGGGAAAAAAACAAACAAACAAAAAGCAAGGAAAAGTAACGGACAAACAATGCGGCAGGATCATCACATCTCAGTCCTCACCATCTCTTCTCAGAAAGAAAGCTAAATGGAATGCGTCAGCTCTGTCCACTCACTGGATATGCCCTATTGACATGGTGAGCTCCCCTTCTCCCTCCCAGTAAGAGGCAGGGACACGAGCATTAGTATCCTCCTATCTCTCTCCTTCCACAGATAATTTCCTTCAAACAGGTCGTGCAAGTTCTTCTGCCTCCATACGATCCCAGCCACCTACTATGGAGAGCTGTGAATACAGAAACAGAAAAGTGCCCCTCCTCTGCTGACTGCCTATACTGCAGGACTGCAAAAAGGATTTTCTCTCTCTCCACCTATCAGTGTGCCCTTCCAGAAACCACACTTATCCTACATTCCATTCCTCGCTTCACCGAGGCAGAAGCTCAGTTGTCTACAGGAGCAGCAATGCACTCTCCTCCTTCCCCTGCTCATGCACTTCCCTATAGACCACACAGGCTGCTGTCAAGTCAAGTTCCCCTGCAAAAATAAAATCTCATCTTTATCTCCTCCCAGAAACCAGCCTAAGGCACCAGGACTCAGTTCCCCTTTCAGGGTATTAATGCAAACAGCTACTGAAGAACCAGGAAACATCTTGCATAACTAAAGCCCCTGCGGAAAGGAGTGTGCTTTTTTTCTGAAGCAGAAGAGCAGTAGGGGAAGGGGAGGCAGGACCTTGGCCTACAGACACAGAAGGAACATATGTCTTGGCAGATCCAGAGGGATAGTGGCAGGAAATGCCAGTGGTAAAGCAAGCTCTTGCCACGCCACACTGCGTGCCACACGTCAGCTCTTCTGAGTACTGTCTCACTGCTGAGAGCAGATAACACTACCAAAACTTCTGTTCAGAACACCAGGCAACAGGAAAAAAAACAAAAACAAAAACAAACCTGTTTGTATTTCTAAGAAGGTTGCAAGAGATCTGGCCAACTACCAAGTCAAGGATCGCCTTTCCACTATTCTACTTCATCTGTGGTGAGATGAAGTGGTTGTTGTGAAGTGAAAAATGAATGTGATTATCCCCCTTCCCACCACAGTTCCTACTCCTTCCTCCCCTCCCCGTGATTTAAATCGTGTGCCACTGAGTGCATTTTCTTTACCTACACTTGAAGACTGGCTGATTACTAATCATGCTACTACTCAACCTCTGCAATCACACCACCAAGTTAGCGAGCACTGCGATGGCATGTTCTCCAAGTCCTGGTGTAAGTAAGGTTCACAGGATATCAAAACCTTCCATGAACGTGTTTGGCTTTTTTTTTTTTTGTCTTCCCCCTCCACAGGAAATTAAATACAAAAATAGCTTCTAAAGAAAGTAAAAGAGTTGTAAAACAAAAGATTAAAAAAAAATCTCAACAACAACAAAAAATACAAGTCTCACCCCACTGTCTCTTTAGGGCAAATTAAGGAGAGAGGTTCAGCAATAACTCTGAGCTTACTGCTTTAACAATCTTCTTTTTAAACTTAAGGAATCAGTGCAGTGCCAGAGATAGCAAGAATAATGCATGCAAGTGAATCATCCTGCTGAAGTCACCCACCAAGACACTCATGCATTTCAGTGGTGGCAGGACTGGGCCCATAAGATTACTAATGTTAATAGATTTAGTTTTACTGTTTTTGTGTGCAGTGTCAAAAGTAGCACAGTTAAGTTTTGCTCTCCGTGGCTCATCTATACTGCTTTGATTTATGGGCCAGATCCTGTGTTGGACTGCACAATCAGCTCCCTTGAGAGTATACAGAAGTGGTAAATGTGTATTCCCCAAAGTCACTGAAGCAGAGAGGAGCAGTAAAGAGAGACTTACTGAGGGAGGTGGGGACTCCCGGCCAATGAGCGGGGTATTCTCACAACGGGGGTTCTGGAAATTTGCATTCTGGCTCCTAGGAAAGGAAGACACACATGGTAATGGGGGTACGTGCCACACTTCTCCAGGGAAGGTCTCTGACAGTGACATGGGACAGAGCACAGCACCCCCAGAATTACTGCAGCAGATCAGTCTCCCTCAAAGCTTTTCTTACAGGCCAGGTGGATCCCCTTCTTCAGTCACAAAATCTGTGCTCAAGCTAAGGGAAATAACGCTATCTTTACACTCTTACTCAGAACAGCCCACACTGAATCGCATCGAATGAATTAAAAATAGGTTTGTGCGAAAAATCTGCCTCTCTACAGAGTCAGAACTGCCAAGCTGCAGAATTGGAGATAAAGTAAGGACAAAATCTAAAGGGAAGAACAAAACGATGTGCCAGCCCAAGAGATGGGCCCCAAAAGGGAGTCAGAGAGCCATCAGGGTTTGGCACTTCTAGAGAAAGCTCTTAAAGTCCCACCTGGACCAGGCAGCTCCAGACTGCAACAAATACCAGAGGTGGCTTCAAACACAGAGAAGGAAAGAGCCTGCAGGTTTTGCTATGGCTCCTGGTCTCTAAGGAGGCTTAAAATCTTCTGGCAAAACTGCTCTGTCTGAAGAGCCAAGCTTCACAGGGATCAGAACCATTGTGCAGTAAGGAGCCTGGATAACACTGCTTCCCTTTTCTGTGGACAGATGTCTAAATCCCACAGTACGAAGCAGTGGTACTATTTTTGAGTATGCTGCCTAATACAACCCTTTCTACTGCAGTACTTTTAGGCTATCCCAGTAGATGCTAATCAGAAAACATGCCTTTTGACATTTCAGACAGAATCCTTTATCACTTCCACTGCTTAGTTGAAAGTACCAGCCCTGCAACTACAAAATCTGAGTGCAGCAACTTGGATGAGATGCAATTCAGCCTTTTTGTCAGGATACTCACATGTACTCTGTGACGGGAGCATTGCTGACTGTGTGTGCTGCTGCTGGAATGCTGGTCTCACTGCCATAACTACTCCCACAGCTATAGAGGCTGGGCATGTGCACTCTGTAAAGATTATCGTGTGTCTGTCTGCTCCCCTGAGCAGCTGATTCTTCATCCCCATCATCATCTGAGCTTCTGCAAGAAGGAAAAGAAGTTCCTCCTAGAACCCTACAATCACCCCACATGTGGGGTTTGCAGGAAACCATGGCAATCCTAGGAACCTCCCAACCATCCTCCACACCTCCACATTTATACCCAGTTGGGATGCCTCAGGGTGGCAGTGTCAAACACAGCCTACACCACTGTGACTCAGACCTCCCACAGATGCCATCTGGACTTTTAGATTGCATGATCCCCTGCAATCTCCCTATGGTCTTCTCCCAGGGCTTGGCAGACAATATGGTTCTTCAGCTGCTCAGTCACATAACCAAAGAATGGACATGCATCCCAAAAATACACAGTACTTTGGAAAAAATACATGTAAAAGAGGTAGGAAGGATGTATTGCCAGGCATTCTGCATAACATCCTTCAAACTACAGTCTGTCCTTCCATTCCTTGCAGCAATGTCCAGAGGGCTTTTAAGGATAAGAGTCTGAACTTCCATTATGGTTGCACAGTGTCTCCCTCAGCTTCTAACAAAACTTCACAAGTCTCCACATGTAGTAAGTTACAACATTCGTCTCTAGAGCCTTTCTTCCCTCAGAAAGGCCAGGAATTTAAATCAATTTTAATACAGAGCAGAACTGCTTGCAAGCTGATTTCCTCCCCATCTTTCTTCTGTCTCTTTGAAATAACACACACTATTATTTTATTTCCCTAATTACGGGATGAAGTATCAAGATCTGAAGTACATTTTAGTGATACTGGACAAGACTAGAAAAACACTCAACGTGAAACGTCTTGCTGCTGGGCAGAGACATGATGGGCATCCCTAGAGCATCCCCACCACCACTTGCAGTTTCTGCACCACCAGGTGGCACTGAAGATTTAATCAGGGAATTGCAGCCTGTACAGCTTCTTACAGGCAATGACATCCTCCACCTCCCTGAGGGAGCCAGAGGAAGAAGCAGTGCTCCAGATAATGCAAGAGGGAATCTTTCAGTTCACAGCAGCAGCCTGCTGGGGCTGATGGTACGGGCAGCACGAGAGATAACACTGTAAATCTCTCTCCCTCAAACAGACTGCCATTCTCTTCTTGAAAACGCCTCTACAGCTGTATGTGGAAGAGCCAGGGAAACCAGCCATTTTCTGCAGCAGTGTTCTGACATTTCCCAAGGCTTCCTCTGTGGGCACTGCAGGCCTGGCGGGCTCTGGCTTCCTACTATTGTTCTGGATGTTCCACTTTGAACCTTGAGTTTAGGCTTAGGCCACAAAAAAAATCACATTTCAGGACCACAGTGGAGAATTTGCTGCACAGTCTAATAGTCTTCTACAAGAACAGAAAACCCAAAGCTATTTTAATAGCTGCATGTGGTACAGCAGCCAGTTGCTGAGGCCCTAGGAAGATTCGCTCAAGGCTTATGATCAGCCCTTACCATCATTAACAGTAGTTCCAAACAACTCTGCTGTTACATGATCACCAGCAGTGTGCAAGCATCTTATCTGCCCATGCTATTGCAGACACGACTGCTTTCAACTCCTATTAGCTGTGCAAGTCAGTTGCCCTAGTTTTAGCAAAGCCAAGAAAGGCAAGTGCGAGTTGCTGCTCATCCTAGTTCTCTTCCCCATACTAGAACAAATGCCAGAGCAATGCAAGAGAAGAGGCACTGTACAGAGAAGCACATAGTTCAAGCATTTGCCTTTCTCTACAGCTACAATCATTCATCTCTGACTTGACTCCAGTCCTACAGTGTACTGAATACTCTTTACACGTAGTATTTCAGCACAGTGAAGTTCAGATGTAAATATTAATCACAACCACAGCAAACGCCAGCAGATTTTTTTCTTTTGGACCTGTGCTTAAGAAGGCCTCACGCTCATGGGATCACATGGGAAAGTGCTCCAGATGCTCATGGGCACAAATCCAATAGCTAGTCTTCATCAGGAAAGAGCTCTACAACACTACAGGTTCTAAACCCTCTCTATACCTCTTTTGCTGCCAAGTGTGTGGGACACTGCACACAATGGAACTGAACATGAGGGCTGTGACAAAGGAGAAGAGAACCAGGTAGATGAGGCCTTCCACTCCATCATAGCAAAAGCCCGTCAAAGCCTGGACATAATCCTGGAGAGAGAAAGGAGCAGAGTTTCTTGGTCACTAGAGAGTTAACACTGAGTTCTAATTCAAAAGCCTTTCCCCCCAGACCATGCTCTCTGAAACAATCTAGTTCATAGCTGCATCTCCAGAGCATACTTTAATTTTAATTTTGGAGACCTGGAGTGTTTTTTCATAACTTCCTTAACTTTTATCTCTACTCACAAAACCCAAAGCAAATTTAGACACGGCAGCAAGAGATTAAAGAAAAAAAAGGAAAAATCCAACATAGAACTCATCCACCCAACTTAAGTCACCACATTTTTCAATTAGCCTTTCAGCTCCTTCCCTCTGTCCTATTGCCCAAGAACACAAGCACAGATTACCTATTTCTATACTTCCAGAGATGCAGCTAGGGCAATAGTTTGATTATGCTTTCCTACAGCTATAAGGCATTTTGTGGGAAAAGCAATAAGCTATGAACTACGGAAACAAGCTTAGGGTCCCTTAACCTTACAGCTTGCAGATGTAATGAGACGTTATCTGGTTTTCTACGCTGATCTTCAAACACAAAAATACAAAGCTAACTTGATCCAAAACCCCATTTTCCTTTCTGCTGGAGTCAATCAGTAAAGTTGTTACAAACTGTTTTGGCACACCAGAGATTTGGAACTCCAGAATAATCAGTACTCTACAGGCTCTACACCCACTTAGTGCTTTCTTAACACAAGCCCAGTTACTGAGTACTCACCAAATGCAGACTCCGACAGTCTACTAAAGCTGTCAGTTGCTGCAAGTTTATCTCTGTTGAATTGAGAACCTCCTGGATCCGTGTAAGATAGTCCTGTAAGCAATAAGCCCAGTGATTGTTACATGGAAGCAGCTCTGAAGAACCTGATAGTGGGCTATGTACACAGGGAGAGCAAAAATGAGGAGTTACCTTGGAGGTGGGATGCTCTCTGCTTGCTGACCTCATGAGTTCCACAACATCATCTTGCATTTCCACCAGAGCCTTGTGACTTCCTGACAGTTTCTGCTCAACACAAAACAGTGAGTGTTTCAGCAACTCACGGACCAGCACAACTCCTGGGAGTTAAGACTTAAATCTCACTAGCAAACACTGAAGTGTCACCTGTACGAATGGTTCAACTTCAGGAAATCTCAACTGAAATGTATGCAGTTCCACTAACATTAAGTTCTACTTTTACTGAACTGGAAGGAGTACAAACAAAACACGCATGCAGAGCTGTGGCCAATGCCAGGCCAGAGGGGCAGGAGGAAAGGCAAGACAAAGCACTTATATTCTCACCACAGCATACAGATGGATTTTTCTACCCAGTCAGATGGCTAAGAAGGAATCAAATATTAAAAATTGTTTCCACTGGGGTACAGTTCTCACACCCCGTTTAAGCATCCATGGGAATTTCACATGCTATAGCATGTCAGAGAGTATATAAGCAACCAGAAATGCAACTGATAGCAATGGTGCACAGCCTGAAGTGTTCTTCTCCCATCCTTGAAAACAGAGGAAGATGAGATTTAAAAAAAAGATCCTAATTATAAACTGAAGCAGCTGGTGTCTGCTGCACAGTGGGTGGTGTGGGTTCATTCTGGACTCTGATACAGAAGAGAAAGTTTGGGATGGGCCCAGGTGCTGCTTCTCAGCCCCCACACGAAAGAATAATGACTCACGTTTATACTTCAGGATGCAAACCCTTGAACACCCAAGGGATTTAAGAGGCATATGTGCGAACTGCTCCCCCACCCCACTTCGTTTTGGGAGTGGAGAGTTGCCACTTAAACCAAAAAGAAACCGCAAGAGGAGATTCAAAGCAGGAAGTCTGCAGGTTCCCACCCTGGCATGAATTGTGGGTGCTCTGCCTCCACATTGCTGCTCTTAGAAGAGCACTACGTAAACAGAGATATCATGAACAAAAGCCATGGTCCTTACCACATCACATACAGCTCCCTCTGAAGGGCATCCTAGACCATACAAGCAATAGTGATGGTGGAAAACAACTGCTCACTGTATCGCTTGCACAGCTGGAAAGTAGGTACCAAAGCTTTACCAACAGGTGGAGTGTTTCCTACAGCTAATACCTTGCAACTTGCTGGCACCAAAAGCATTCAACCCATCCCCTGCAAGAAGCAGGATGCTGAGAAGTGGAGAAGGAAGGTGGGCACAGTGCTCACACTCACCTGCTGGAAAGGGTTGGGGTATCCAGTGCTACAGGTGATGTAATAGCGGAAAGTATCTACAAAGGCAAAAGAGAAAGTCACATTAGTGATGTTGTTCCATTATTGCACTATTTTATGGCTACCACAATGGACGTGTTAAGCCCCGGAAGCAATACACAAAATGAAAGTGGAATGTAAGTGAAACCACTTCCCTCTCTCTAGTGCAAGGAGGAAACTAGAAAAAGGGATATAAGCCATCTTTAGGGATAAAGAAAGAATTGTTTTCTGCTCCCCACAACAAAGACTATTTGTTGCTTTGTTTTTTTCTCCTCTCCCCTTCAACAATAAAGAAGTATGGGGCTTATATTGTCAGGGGAACCATTAATACAAGTTTTGTTCAGAAGTCAGTTTTACTCATAGCATAACCAGACCTCAGTCTAGGAGAAGTCCAACTGAATGTTTAATTTCTACAGCTTTTGAGCATCAGAATACCATTCTATAGTCACTGAAAACAATCAGAGGTTGGCACTGCCGCCTGGGATATACAGTGAGGACATAACTTTCAGCCAATTCCATTCACCAACGAGATCACTAAACAGCCACAGAAACACTGGCACAGGAGAGCTGCCAAAGGTGATATAAATACAGGCTGCTAACTAAAGTACCTGTGAAAGCACACCATTGGGCCAAGGGAGGTGCAAACACACATCCCCATGCTACTACGCCATGCTGAAACATAACGCTTCCTAAATATGAAAGTTCACATGCTAAAAAAGTCTTCCAGACTGGGGGCTCAAAGGAGAGACTGGTTTTAGAGTTCTGTAGAGGACATAAGAAAGCCCTCCTAGCTGAAGAAAACAACCTGTAGTAACGTATCACTTCAACATCTTGCTTTCGAAAGGAAGAAACATCTTGGAATGTGCTGAGGAAAGAAATGGATATAAAAAGAGTTCTCATCTTTCTGACATGCACTGGGGATGAATGAGTAAACAGCAGTCTGTTTTCTGGTAGATGTCACTTGCATGCAATTAGATTTTAATTAGGAGGTGTCAGACTACTTAGATGCATGTAATTTCTTTTGCAGCTTTCTGGAAAGGTATATTCTGTATTAAATCAGTAGTGCAGACTGGGCCAGGAAAGAAAGCTGTTACTGGAATACCAGCAAGAAGGTGCAATCCTTAACACTGAGTAGTTCTATCAGACATTGCAGAGCAATGAACACGTACTTCTACACATGAGTACAGACAAGCAGAGTTAAAATGCACTTCCTAAGGCATCACTTATTTCCATGCTTGAAGACACAGGTTCATTTCTCCTCATTCACCAGCCTGGTGCCCTCAAGAGCCCCCATAATACACCACTAACTGCCTGGACAGAGTCAGCACACACACATTTTGAATCTCAGGTTTCTCCCCACCATTCTATGATTCTCAATTGTGTGCTGCAGAGGGAACAAGCATTGTGACAGAGTTACCAGTCCAGTACCTTGAGATTAACGCTCAAACATTTACAGTTCCTCTTCAGATGAATGAGAGCACATCAGCTTAGCAAAACCAGTGGTGAAGTTTGCTCAGTGAAGACAACAGCAGCTTGAAAATACACATACCACCTTCTCTCCCAACACCTTCTCTCCCATTCCCTTTAATCTTCTATCTGTGGCTCTCAGTAACAGGTATTCCAGGTTGGAAAAGTACTCCAAGCACTCCCAGCTCAGAAATCAGCAAAACGCACAACCACGAGCGAGCAGAGCTGCAAAGGGAATGGACCTGAGAGCATCCCGGCTCTGCAGCACTTCCCATAAATATTGAATGTACCTTTTGGCAAACCGAGGCGCTGGGAACCGAGCAGTGCAGCGCAGGCTGCCAGCTCCCATGTGCTGCAAAGCAACCTGACAGCTGTTATTTATAATTCATTAGCCGACTTTGGGGCAGCTCTGCCAGCTGCTCCACCGCCCCCCCCCCCCCCCCCCCCAGCTCTTTCTTTGGGATGATTTTGGCCTCCTCTAAAAAGCAATTAGCAGAAGATGAGCAGATTGGAGGGCAGTGAGAACTGCTATGTGGGCTTTGCTTTGCAAGGACCACACAAAGTGCTGCGTGCAAGCACTGCACCAAGGAAAGGATTGCTCCTCTGATGCTGAGTCACCCCCCAGTGGTGGAGGAGAAATGGTTAAAGTGCCCCTGTGCTTTGAGAAAAGCACAGCAACAGCACCCTGCAGTGTCACACACAGCTCTGATGTTGGCACTTCTTTATTTTACATCAACAGACTACCAGAAATTGCACATAGGCTCCCACAGGGGTATCAATTCCACATCATCTGTGTAAGTGCATTAAGTTGCATGACCTACTATTATACACGGCTCCAGAAAGGTTTCTTTAGGGCCTTCTGGATTGCCCTGAGAGTGCAGATCACTATGACAGTTCCCAGTATAATCACAGTTTGCAATTTGTGAGCCCAGGCTCAAGGACTGGTGGCTACAAGTGAAGTAAAGCAGAACAGCGAAATAAGTGCATCCTTTACTCTGGAAGACAAAAATCAACAACTGCTACACTGCAGTAACACCAGTACTGCAGACTAGTGTGGCATTCTGTACAGAAATGTGCTTTCCAAAATGGCACAGCCAGCAGGAGCAGCTTTCCCCTGCACTGAACACAGTGTGCTGATAGATGAACAGCTTTAAACTGCTTTAAATCTACAACAGACGCTGAAGCTGCCTTGATGCAACCGCATAGCCTGCTGCTGGAAGTCCTCCTGACCCACTCCCACAGTACATATGCATTGTAGGAACAAAAGGCAAGGAAGGGAACTATCTAAAATGCTTCATCTCCACAGAATCTGTTTTTCCTCGAAAGGAAAGTAGAACTGCCTACTGAAGATGCTTCATCTGCTGGAATCTACTCGTTGCTTCTGCAACCATGGAGACTTACTCTTCATTTCAAAGCTCAGCAGAAATGTGAAAATGGCATTATGCACCTGCCAGAAGGCAGCAAGGAGGGCTGTAGGGTAAAGAGCAATCAGGAGAAAAAAAAAATACATCATAGCTTACAAAGCAAAGCCTAAACCTTGAACAGCTTTTCCCCACTATTCTTCAGCTCTATTTGAGCGTTCTCTATGCAGCCTGATTTTTATATATGCGCCCAGTGAGAGTGCCTCTGTATGTTTAACCAGCAGAGACAGCTGAACTATATTGCCTAAGATGTCTAAGAGGAAGAAGACTCTTCTGACTTGATTTTCTTGCCTGCTAGGTTAGTCTTCTCCCTAAGGTGAAGCTATGTTTCTCTTAGATATACTGCTGGTACTGGTGAGAGCAGACTGATGTCATCATGAGTTTTCATAAAAGAGCTCATAGCCATTCCAACTGCCCTCCACACAAAGCTTTCTGCTCATCAGGAACCCGATGAAACAACGTAGGAAAACACAGCTTCTGACCACCCATATCAGGACAGAACGAGTCTCGAAAATGTTTCTTTGGACAAGCTCTTTTCTGCTGTGCCCACACAGCCCAAGCAGTAACAGCACAGCCACCACATCCCCCACATGGGGTTTTGTCCCAGCCTTAGATGGGAAAAGGTGGTGGTGATGTCAGTTCCCCGGTTCGTTCAGCACTGGGCTCCTAAGATGAGAGTAAAGAGCAAGAGGCCAATTAGGAGTCTATGGGGGTTAAGAGTGCTTGCTGCTTTTATCTGAACAGCCAAGTTGCAGCATCCAGTTTGACAAACTCGGCTGGGCTGGAGCTGAAAGATTCCATTATCTATCCCAGGAGGTTTGCAGCTCCTTCAGCGGAAGCATCTCTTCACAGTGAAGATTTCCAGTAAGAGAATCTGGAAAAAGCTCTTCCTGTTGTTTAGACAGACTGCCTTCTTATTTAATTTTATTCAGTAAGTCATCTAATAATAACATAACATCAATGAAAAAACGACGAGGCTAGAAGATGGCCTCCTGCTTTGAAAATAAACATCTTGGCTGCACCGAGTCTTTTTGCTAGCAGCAGGAGCTGATTATACAGCCACTGTTCAACTCCATTGGCTTTATCTCAATTAATGAATACTGGGCATGTTAGGCACACACATCATCCATCCTCTTCTGCAAAATGATTTAAACTTCTCCTCTAGGAAACCTGTGTTAAGGCTTTTTTTTTTTTTTAATGCAGCACATTTTCTCTACAAAACAAGGACATCTCCTCACCAGCTAAAAAAACATGACAACAATAATGATGCACTTAATCAGATTATGCTCAGCTCCATTAATTCTATCTAGATTTGCAAATAGCAATTAATATACAAACGTTAACATACTAGTTGCCTAGTATCCAATGCTGTTATTCTTATGGGGAAAAAAAATACAACCAACAGCAAAAAAGCATTGTAAATACAGAAACCTGCATCGTTCACCTCTAGTCTGAATGCCAGAGTATAAGACTGGGAATATTATAAGACAACATGTTTAAGATCAACAACTAACAGAATTATTAAAGGGAAACACTGACCCAGCACTGTAAAGCTAGTGGTTGGCTCACATTTAAGGTTACTTGCTGGTTCTTAAGTGTCCTTAAAAGCAGATGACAGCACCCAACCCAGTATCTCATACCAGCACCATTTCAGCTATGTGATTCCCAAGCTAAATGTGGTTTCTGCCTGTACAGCAACTCTCAACAGATTTTTCTTCCATGAACTATTTGAGTCTCTCCTTCAACTAATGCTTTTTTTTTTTTTTTAAGCAATCTGTTTTCTGAACTGAAAAATTCACAATAGGTTGCACTCTGGTGAAACTAAGTGGAACAGCCCAAACATTTCTGCCTCATCCATCCATACTGCAGCAAATGAGAGTGTGTGACAAGTCTGAGCACTGGAACTGGGATCCTTCCAGCAGGGCAGCTTCCCCTAGGAGAACAGGGCTGCTTCTGGCTCTCAGCTGTTGATCCTGCATCCTCGAACTTGTCCCTCCTGTAGACAGAGCTCAACTGATGACAAAGCAGTTGCCACAGTCTACAGCCAAGCGTATGAGAAGCTTAAAGTAAATGCTGGCATCTTTTAACGCTATTAGAAGAGCCACTGTTGAAGTTAGAGTGTCTCTAAACAGTTCCACACAACAGTCCTTGCATTGTGGCCCTTCTTCCTGCTCAGGTGCACAGGATGTTCCACGACATGGGGGACCAAGAGTTATTTCCGTAGCTTCCTGATCATAAGAACAGTAAAAACTCACATGGGAAGGCAGAATATGTGATCACCTCCCCACCAGCTGCCCAGTGCTATGGCAGGCTCAGAAGGAAGACCAATTTCCATCTGAAAAAACAAGGAAAGGTGCTTGTGAATGCTGAATGGTTCCTAGCAGCAGTGAGCTGATGTGCTGGCAGCCCTTGAAGAAGCCACCCTTCCAGCTCAGGCCAATGACAGCACCTGCTCTTCCTCCTCCTCAGCATCTTGTTCAGCCCCATTTGCTGTTATTTATGGAACCTTAGCAACTGCTACAGCTGGTGGTGCTGCTGGAACAGAGCCTTCTTTCACTCTGGGAGGTGACTGACCCTGCTGGGGGAAGCAGGAGGGATGGGGATGCCAGACCCACAGGAACCCCATGGGAATGGTACCGATGAGCAAAAAACTGCTGGAGCCAAGCTGATAAGGGCAGAAGAAATGGAAAAGGAGCAAGGAGGGGTTTCCTCGTTGGAATTTAGGGTCAACCAAGTTGTTACTACACACACAGTTTTGGGTTATCGAGTTAACACAGCATGACTGCCACCAGTGTCTGGTATTTTCCTCTGGCCTCCATGGCCTGTTTCCCCTCTAGACCTAAAAGGAGACTAGCTGCTACCTGAAGCCACTCTTGTAACAAAGGAAGGATTTTCACTTCACACAACGCGTTAAACATTTCACTCTCTGCTCTGAATTTTCTTTGTTACAAAGACCCTTCTGTAGTGAGCTGCCAGGCTCTCCCCTTTCCCTTCCAAAGAATCAATAAATAAAGCACTCTAAGAATAATCTGCCGGGTGATACTACCAACCTGCATGTATGTATTCTTTCATAATACATTTTGCCTCCAGACATCAATATTTCTGATGGCTTCGAGTCCCTGCATCCTCAGCCATAGCCACATACCTAATTCCCTATCAGTTACACAGCACTTGGCCAAGAGCACGGCAGTAACACCAGACTTTCAGTATGAAAGGCAAGGATGTTCATGTTCCAAGCAAATGAGAACCAGTAAAGAACGTGGCTTACATGTGACACAAATCAGGGTCACAGCTTATTTGTGTTTTACCATCAGAAATACATACAGGGTCCATCAGGGAGAAAACAGGGTAGGAGAGAAGGTAACTTTGTTAGCCAAGAAGCAAACTCAGTCCTGCAAAGTACTTATCCTTTTTATTATCTTTCTCTGCTGGTGAGCACTCAACCACGTTTGTGTTAAGCCACAATTCTGAATATCACTTTTGCCCCCAACGCCCAGACTGGAGGCACCCCTCATCTCACCAACCACTTCAGCCTAAATTAGGAGTGACAAATACAGAATCCATCCATCAGTGCTTCAGTTGAATGCTGCTGTGATGCAGGCATTTGGCTTTAAGTGGAACGGGGTAAACAAAGCAATCCAAATACTGCATTTACCATGAAAGGGAAATTCATATTTCTTTCCTTCTGATTCTGTTCATTTATTCTTTAAATTAGCTTTCAAAAGACTCCTATTTATAAACACCATGAAGAGAAAAATTGATACATGTATTTATTAATAACAAATATAGAAAATAAATATATTAGATGCTAGAATACAGACAAAAGGAAACCTAAAAAAAATGACAACTCAAACTACAAACTGATATTGCCACAGTTCCATTGCTTAGAAGAGGAGATAAAAAGACCCAGGGCACTCAATTTAAATAAACCAGAGACTTCTGCTGATCCACCTTATCAGTTATTTTTGCCTGAGGGCCAGAAAGAAAGAATCTTCTGACAGAAAAATGACTATTATTATTATTATTAATGATGATAAAAGGATGTATGCATACACTTCTGACTGGTGCATAAAAGCATTTTTTGAAAGAACGAGGGTTTTCCAAAGCTCCACACACATCTGTTTTTCCCCCAGCTGGCTGCTGGGAGCTGGGTACAGCCACAAGTTCTCAGTCATTGCCACACTCCTACGTGACAGCTGAGCCACAGCACCTGTGCCAAAGCCAGCCCCAAGACTTACCAGCACTAAGCACTGCGTTCTCTTCAACCACTTTGGAGATGTAAGCATCCGGGTTAATACAGAAGTCACTGGAGCCCTAGAAAGAGGCAGGGCAAAAAGGAAAAGGAACATCAAAGAACACCAATATAAAATAGCAGTTGAGCCAGGTTAACATCAGGGAATCTTCCACTGCAGGGAGGTTTCAGGTGCTGAAGCCTCACTGTCATTCCCACTAGTACAGCTTTAGGCAGCCTCAGCAGTGCTGGAGTACAAGACACTGCACCCCACCACTGAGGAGCTGTGTAACTCTCACAGATCAAGTTACTAGGACAGCTACCTAGAACAAGACACACAATAAAACAGTGCATAACATGTACTGATGGCTGCTTAATCTTGTGTCTGATAAACCTGCAGCAAGAGGTGAATGGGAGTTGAACCAGAGCCACTTACCACAGCAACAGCCAGCTCCAGACCCAAGGACCCCCAGCTGACAATCAGGGCAAACACCCCAAGCAAGCATACCCTGTAGGAGACAGACAGACAGGTGGCAGATGTAGAAACTCTCATCTCAAGCTAACCAGATCCTGTCACAAGATGCATTATCTGCAATTCAAAGTAATTACCAAACTCAAGAAATTAACAGTCACCGCATCTTCAGATAAACCATCCCATTTTATGTGCTGCAGACAGCAGCAACCAGAAAAGTTAATGTCCAGTTTATGGTTCCATTGTTTCTTGGCCCAGGGGCCTCAGCAAGAGGAAGACTAAGCTAGAAGAAAAGTCTTTGGTCAGCTCCAAGCAAGGAAGTCAAAGGCACAGAGGCAGTCCAGGGAATGGCAGATTGGCAGATGCATGACTGCATTCCTGTCACTTGGGCTACTCTCACTGTGGACATGACTTTCCACATGGGAAAGATATTCAGAGAACAACAGCCCCATATATCTGCATAAAAAGAAAAAAGGGAACACCAAAAGCACACATCACAGCAAACAAACAACCCATGAAAATGCAGTGACTGAGAATTGAGCAAATTCCTTCCGTTTCTAGAGCAAGGCTGTAAGCACTGTATTGTCTATAGATAACGGAGGGAATACTTGGCCTGTGTTGGAACACCTGACTTTGGTGTCAAGCTGTGAGCACCTGAACACCACCCAAGTACCCCACACAGCCCAGGAAGAGAGCCAGGCACAGAATGGGGATTCACCTTTGCAACAGCCACAGAGCCTAGCAGATCCTGCGGAGCACTCCAGAGCAAAGTGGCCTGCTACATAAGGACAGCACTGCTTGGTGCCTTCAGCTAAGCACAGTTACCTGTTCAATGTGACACAGTTTTTATTCTCCTTTAAATGAAGATGACTGGGTCAGTAGCTGATTGCTTGGCTCAAAGATCTAAAACTGGCATTTCACCATCTTGCTTGGCTCTGACACACTTGCTTCTCTATGCCATGTCCTCCCTTGGGGAAATGCCTTAATATGAACTTCTGGCAAGAGGGAATGAGTTTCTAATTTCAACTCTGGGTTTACCATCTGTGCATACACTTGGACCTTTGTCTGCATCACCTGCCAGGTATGAAGTCATCTGGCAAATAATAAATCTGAATATGCATTTCAGTTATTAATGGTACCATCACACATCAGGACAAAATCTTGGCTATGTCAGCTGTCAAACTCTCATTGTGTTTATGACACTGGTATATTTGCCAAACATGCCAAACTAAATCAAGCTGCAACACGGGGAGAGAATCACTTTTTTCTTGTAATGGGGCTTGAGCGTGGCAGCATTTGCAGTGCTTTGTAGAAATAGATACACATTAATATTGCAGTAACATAGCAACAAGACTTCTTATAACTGTACAAACCATTGCGTGTTCTCTGTAAAGTCTCTTCAGGTGTGACAACCAAAGGTAAAGAGGATCAGATTGTGACACAAAAGGCATGCTACTAGGCAGTGCAAACACAGGCAGTGCTTATCATCCATTAGCAAACATCTTCACCACTATAGAGAATTAAAGACGACTTCCACAGCCTGTAAATCTAAGGGAGGATGTTCACATTACTATTTCCCAGCTGACTCCCAAGCAGAGGCTACCAGTGCTGCCCAGCAGAAGGCATGCTGCTGTCCAGATGAGTTGGTTGCTTTTGATGTGAAAACAGGCAGAACAGTATCATAGAGCTGTACAGCTCCTTCCTGTGAACATCCCTCACATGTAGCCCTATTCCAAACCACAGAGCAATGCTCTACAAAGGTACTCTGCATTAAGAGGCAGATTTAAACTGTTCTCAGAAGTCCTTGAAATCAATTGACAACAGACTAGAGGTTTAAACTAGCAGGCACTTGCATTCCTTACGTGCTGTCCCTGAGTCAGAACTTACCCCATAAGAACGGCCCTGGAGTTTCTGATGAGCCCAAAGAGCACCAACAAACATATCAGAACATGGAACAGGAGCAGGCCCAGGTACCCGAGCCACCTGCAGCAAATAAAAACACAGCAAAAGAAAACTGATGTATGAAAGGGACAGTTCAAGTAGTCCGAATTTCTCGTGGGGAAAAACAACAAGAAAACAAACTCAGCCCTTGTTTTCTTTGAAAAGCCGCTGCTAATTATTAATTTTCAGAGGTCACTTGGTATTTGCTGTGCCAGGAGTCCAGGGAGGCAAATGCATTTAAACAACATGATTAGCATACAGTTATTGAGAAGTGAGACCACTAACCTTACTCTAGTACAAAAGCCACATGCTGCTGGACACCATCAGGTAAAGAAGGAGCACTGCAGCTTCCTGAACTTACTACATGTTTGCTAGAAACACTTCAGTTGATTCAAATGTGTGGACAAAGGTTTCCTTTTGTGAAATACAGTTGGTGTTATCTTTTATTCAATAACTTTAATAAAAAGAAATGATAGTGTTTGATGTTAACACGTGGAACAAGTCTACATTCCTACTTTATTCAAGTTAATGTGCCATACAACTTCTCTCCTTGTATTAGGGCACAAGCAACCAATCTTTTACATTGAAAATATGTTTCCCTTCAGCTAGTAATCAACACTCTTAAGAAAAAAGTTGCTGTCATGTATTTTGATTTAAACTGAATGCAGTTTTGCTGTATAATGAAGTCAGCTGAGTGAGCCAAGAGCACCTACAGTAATAAACAGCCTTTGGCTCAGCCCCACAGAACAGACACAACACATCATTGTTGCAAAACAAATGCCACAATCACTATACTAACAGGGTGCTGCACACCTGTACCAGTCATAGAGGTCAATCTGAATTGCCAGCTCCTCCAGAGACAGCTCTTCATTCTTCCAGAAGGGGATCTCAGTTGTTTGCCTGACCAAATCATCCAAGAGACTTTGCAGTTTCTGGATAACGTGCAAGTGGTCTGTCTGCTTTGCAAACATCTCCTCCAGGATGAGCAGGTTTGGCTCTGCTGTTTGGTTCAGGGCCACTGTGGTATCTAGCACCTGTAGTATGGCAAAGGAAAAGGATGAGAAGGAAGTAAAAGAGAATTCATCCTTATTAGCAAATTATGGACAGATTCCAGTTATTCTGTTTGAAGAGGCTCAGATCGCTTACCCTTCAAACCCCACCCATAAGCAAATACTTCTATACCTCTGTTTTAATGTAGTTTAAATGCTATTTTCCATATCAAGATAAACAGCAGAACTACACAAACCCAGAACACAGCCACTAAGGCTGGGAATACAATTTTTTTTTTTTTCCCAAATAAGACATTCACCTTACTCCTAAAACAGGTTAAAAATGACTGCAATCAAGTCTAGCAGAAGGACATCTGTTGAAGGTTACCATGCCATGAGGTTAAGAGGTTAGTAGCCATCAAGGTTGCAGAAAGAGCTAATGACGTTTGATGTAACACAGGAACAACCAATTGTGCTCAAGTGATCCTTTTTGCTAACAGACTTGTCTGCCTTGGCCTGCCTCCACGTCCATGGAATAGAGCTGATCAGAAGCTGTTTTTAAAACAGGCACAATCGCAAAGAGAAGACTTCATTTAACGAGCTGTGTTTGCTTTGATATTTTTAGAAGAGCTGAAGAAAGCATCGCTCCATTAATGGAAATTTTAGCACATCTCTAAGCTCAGAAGCTAGCAAAAAAAAAAAAAAAAAGGCAGAGATACATGCACAGCCAGACTCAAGAGAAGTGCTGAGGCTGCCCATTCCCACACTACCCATTTGCTTTCATGCTCACCCGGTCCTGAACACCTGCCACAGTGCGGTTTGCATGGCGTAGGGAGTACGTCAGCCTGTGGATGCCATCACTTGTCTCTCCATTCCCATAGAAGCCAACAGCAATTCCAGCACTGCAGAGGAAAAAAAATGCAAGACAGGGCACAGTTCAAGCTAAAGGGCAGCAATATAACACGCTGCTTACCTCTGCCAGGTAAGTCACATTAGTTCTTGCATAGTCACATCAGAGACTTTGACAGAAGGGGATGCTGCATCCCCTCTTTGTGCCTCCACAAAGAGCAGCTGGAGGCAGTCACGCTCCCCAGCGACCACATACAAAAAAATCCCCTGTAAATATCTATGTGCACTTACCATGCAGCCAATAACTGCCTATACAGCACATGTGACAAACCACCCCTTCTCAGTAAGTACATTTTATTTGTGGTCAATCTGTTAAAGAACCATTAGAGAGCTCAGCCCTAAACATGGGCAAGTAGAAATCCAGCTAGTCAAGGTGCCCTTCAGTGGCTCCTGCAAGAGAAATGGGTGCTACCATTGCTATGCCACCAAACCCAAGTCTTCTCTGGACATGAAATACAGATTATTTCATTATATTTTTAAGGGAAGAACATATAGAGCTTGCAGTAACTACTTGTCCACAATGATGGATCTTTAAGATCCATTTTCCATGTCTTTTCCACAGCCTGACAGTAGATGTTCAGACTTATTTCTTAATTTATCTTCCCATCAGAAGCATTTGTATTGTATTGATTTAGATAATTGGGAAGCAAATCTTAATAACTTACTTGGCCAAAAAGCTTATTTATTTTTAAGCAAGTGAATTTCAAGCTTGTGGACAATTCAACTCCAGCTGTTTAGCAAATTACCACCTATCAGCTGATTTGCTGTAACTGTCCACACACATTAGTCCACCCTAATTATGGAGTAAACCATATTAGCTTAAATCTCACTTACAGGAAGAAGATCCTGTGGATGAGTTACAACCAGGCAAGTCAGCAATACCTTTTTATTAAGGAATCACTGCAGGAACTCACCATTCCCCAAGCCCTCTTTTTCCCCTTAATAACAGAGAAAGAAAGAACTTGTGAAGGGATCATACAACTAAACTCAGGGGTAAGTCAATCAAGGCACCAATTTCCTGTTCTCATCTCACATTTGGCTTCAGAATATTCAGATTCTTTTCTGGGATGGTTCTCAAGACACTAAGATTGGGCTACAAGAAAGGAAGGCAGTGGTGGTGCGGAGGGTGGAGGACAGGTTTTGTGTTGTGGTTTTTTGTTGCTGTTGTTTTGTATAAATTAAAGATTTCCTGGATTAAACAGTTTCTTCACAACAAGTTTGTGTTATGGCATAGCACTCACAGGGCTGTTTTGAAGGAGATACACAAGAGGAAGGAAGCAAGTGAGACAACAGCTTTCAGGGTAAGCACAGTGCCTTTATTTTGACAGGAAGGGTCACCAGCACCACCACCATCCAGATGGGAAATGCACCCACACAGGCCAGGGTGGGCTCTGCCTGGCTGACAGTCACTTGCCTAGCTTTGCTCTGGCACACACAGCCTGCAATCCGAACCACTGCTTCAGCTGTCACTCCTCTCCTGCAGGAACACAGCACACAGCTTTCCTGCCCATGCCTCGTTCCCCCCCCCCCCCCCCCCCCCTTAATATTTGGTGTTAATACAAGAATGGAGTCTTTCTTCACAAACACCCTCCCTCAAATATTTTCATAACACCAATGATGCCAATAATGAAAGAGAAAAGTTTTCCGCCTTGCTCCCTGGTGGCAGCTTTATATTGCAGGTGATGGGGATTAAGAAAACAAAAACAACAACAACAAAAAAAAGAAAGCAACACTCCTTGACTGCTGAAAAATAATGTAGATTCTGAAATATGTCCATGTTTAGGATAAGGCAACTCAGCACCTCGTCACTGCAATTACAAACTTGTAACTTGAATTTCCCTAGCCTTGTATCAGAGCCAACAAACTCAGACAAATCTGCTGTCCAGAGCAGCACAAAACTTTAGCAGCTGCTTTTACAACCAAACAAAACTCGGGACATTCCTGACACTGAATATGCAGATTCAGACCCTTTAAATTGTAAGCAATGTTATTCATCCTGTTCCAGTTACTAGAATGCTATTCTTTCAGCACAGGCTGAACCCCGCTCCTCGGTTCTTGGTATTCCAGCACAGCAGCACAGTTTGGTGGAAGAGGCTCAGAAGCAGCACGCTGCAGTCATTTTGTCCATAACACCATGATACAGGTAGGTACCTCAGCCAGTGTGGTCAAATGTGCTCGGCATGCAGTGCTACCATCACAGGAACTGACTGGAGACTCTGCCAAAGCAGAGGCAGCGCTGCCCAGCAGCCATCCTCACAGGCTTTCTGCCCAGCCCTGCATTACCAACTTCAGCCGCCCACAGCCAGCTAGTCACAGGCATGACTCCTATAAGGCAGCAAGACAGCAACTGGAATTGGGGATAAAAGGCATTTAATTCAAGTAACAAATTCCCCTGGACACGCATGCGGTGTGTTCACTAGAGTCTACGTGCAAGATTAATTACCACATTACAGCCCAACAAAAGCCAGCTCTGCCCTCACACTGTGCTAGGAAAAGCCAGGCAATGGGAGAACTGCTGCTATTTAGCTTTCTGTAAGTATCTGGCCTCACCTACATCCAACAGTTGTTTCAAATCCCTGCCTACACACCCACACAGGTAAAAGCTGCTATTGTTTAAAGCAGATTTAAGGATTTGCACTCGTTTTTAACTATATTTTTATTTGATTAAAAAGAAACAGGGGCTCTCTTTCATCAGAGCTCAGTCTTTTAAAGTAAAAACAGATATACTTATTGTGACCCAACAGCATAAGCCCTTGAGGCCAAGACAGATCACGTGTTTCCATACACAAACCCTGGAAGGTTCTGCAGCCTCAGCTATAGCAGATACCATTCACATGACAAAATCATCGCCCAATGCCTGCACTTCTGTCATGCAGCTTGGATACAAGACCAACAATCCTGAACGACAAAGCTTTTTTTCCACCCTAGCACCCTCCAGATGATACGACTCCAACACATTTTCAACACTTGCATAAGAAAGTCACCTCTGCTGCTGCTATTGCCGTTCCTGTTGCACTCATCTCCCCAACATGCACATCACCTCCCCATTCTTCACCATCCCACCCCCAGTTCTTCCTCCCAGACTTGAGTCAGTCCCATGCTCCTTCCACCACCCCACCTCTCTCTGCCTTCCTTCTCAACAGTGTCTTTTAAATAAGAATCTGAAAATCCATCCACCAAGCTTTTATGGGTCATTTAATAAATAGCTCCTGCTGCTTGGCTTGCTCATTTCACTAAGTTTTAGGAAACCTGTACACATTAGTATGAGAACAATGTGCATTTCTGAGATGAACACTCTCATTCCTATCGCCTATGTACTGCAACAGTTCTTTAAAGGGTTAAGTGATGAGAGAGAACAGCAGCAGGCTGTGACTTTAATTCATACAGAGACAACAGTATGATTTCAATTACTGCATGTTGCAGCACTTCAGTACTGCTTTACAGCAAGGCCCAAGAAATTCAAGTCTGCAGAAAAAAAACCCACACATTTCCCTCTCTTTTCCTGAAAAGCTCACAGCAGAATTTCCCTGAGGACACAGCCTTCCTATTATTTGCATGCAAGAGTTGTGTGAGCTTAGGACATGCCATAATAAAGAGACAAGAAAAAGAAATCAACTGCAATTCCAAATTACTTTGCAATGTCACCCACAAAAAAAATGTTTTATGGATTACAAAAGGTATATATGAACAGCAGAGCATTAATCTGACAGGGAGAACATATTCGGGCCTGCTGCTGTAGAGATCTTCCAGTCGTAACACACGCTGCACACAGAGAAAACCCCTGTGGATGTTCAATCACCAGTCTGAGAAGATGAGCACTAGCCATTCACATCACATCCTTAGAAATGAATAATCTAACTACACCAAGTCAGCTTTAATTACAGGAACTTCATAAGGAGAGCCCTTTTTAGACTTCATGTTCTCAGGAGGAATGTTAATTTGTCTGTCTAATTACCACCTTGCACTTTAGCACCAAGGGAAAGTGCTATTACTGGCACTTGAGAAAGCAAGATTTTGCCACCTATTTGTACCCATTTCTTTTAGGTATTCTCTCCAGGAAGCTTCCTACCTGCCTTCAGAGCAGAGCTTCCTTCTGGGAGCATTACTGTGACCTACAGGCACTTGAGGATGAGATGATTTATATGAGATGACAACTCCCCATACACAGAAGCTGATGGAAATTACTAAGGACTAGAAATGAACTCAGTTCTCAAGGAATAATCTAGGCAAGTCCATCCTGCAGCTTTGTGGTTCAAGCAATTGGGAAGACTCACTAGGGAGACAGTTTGCTGCAGAACTCCAGTTAACTAGTTCTGCCTTCCTGCTGGCTCAGCATTCCCCTCTTTGCTCAGCAGGAAATAGAGAGTCATTAGAAAACGGTGATGCACAGTGATGCAGTATTCAGAAGGATTCACAAACAGCCCTCAGGGATCACCCACAACTTAGATAAGCATGTATTACGCATGGCTGGGCTCAAACAGAGTTAACTAGTTTTCAGCTAGGAAGCCAACAATCCACTTCATGGAACTTGAACAGACCAGCCCAGCCTGCCTGGATCCTCTGGCTGCTTGAGCATCCAAGCTACCTTTGTTCACTTGCAAACAGCCATACAAGCTGCCTCCCACGTCAGCCTGCTGCCGCAGACAGGTGTTCAGGAGAGCCTTATTCCCACTCACTGGAACGTCACAGCATCTGCTGGTTAGGCAGCTCTGCTGTGTGTCATGCACAGTCAGGACAGGATACGTCCAGTTGGCTGATCTTTGACTCTTGGTATTTAACTGGGATTCCCCACTAGCACAGAATAGATTCCATGCTTGTTGGGAGCTGTTTTTGCACCCTAGACAGACACTGAGTGCAGACAGCCCAAAGTCATCAGTTCAAGAGCACTGTCATGTCCAGCTGCTGGGAGAGGGGCAGAACACAGAGCTCAGTCCCACAGGAGAGCAGCAGCACTCAGGCAGCACTTTCAGCTCCCACAGGTGGCATCACCTTGCTATCACAAAACAAACCAACGTCAGTGGGGAACTTTTATAAAACAAAATGGACTAAAACGAGTATTCATGCAATATCACCTCAGATTCCAGTAGAATCTTAATTGTTAGGATACTCCTGGATTTAATACTTGCTAAAACAAATGGTACACCAAGGATGTAAACCAATTGGTTAGATTTAGAGTGAGCCTAAAATGCTTCCCAGCTTGCGGCCATGACTGGGAATTGCATCAGTCTCACCAGAATTTAAATGCCAACCTTCCAACTTTAAATTGTCTCACGCACAAATCTGGGAGATATGCAGAATTCCTCCTTTTCAACCTTGCCTACAATGAAAAACAAACAGAACTACCACACTGCAGCAGCTGTCTTGGACACAAATGCTGCATAACAATAGCTAACAAGTGCCTGTAACAGCAACACCACTATAAATAGCATCAGTTAGAGCTTCTGTAAGGGTTAGAACCACAGAGCTTTCAGTGGATTGGAATGGATGCAGTTGAAGCTCTTGAGATCACTAAAAATAAAGGTGACTGAAGTTGAGATTTCTTCTTTATGACTTGTTCTCTAGTTTGTCTTTCTATTCCAGGTACTTTCTTGCAGTCAGCAGAGCACAGGAGAAAGAGCTCTGTGCAAAGGCAGCATTATCTGTTAATGCATGAGGTCTCCAAATCACTAAGCCCTGGACTTTATAGGCAAATCCATCCATAGCTTGCTAAACTCACAACACAGTGATATCAATGCTCTGTTCCAGTACGACAGGGGTTTTCTAGTCTCTCAAATATACCTTGAAAGAGTAAATAGAGAAATCCATTAGTAGCCCTTGAAAAGCTGAGCATGGCCTTCAAGGAACATGCTTGCTTCCATAAAGGTGGGTCTAGAACGTGATCTATTAGCAATTATAGTGAGCCATGAGATGACAAAAAAGCAAGCTTGTCATTGTCATCTCCTTTATGCAAAGGGGAAAATCAGACCACCTGAAACCTTGGGTAAGAGCAGCTGATGCTTGGAATCAGCAAAAAAAAAAAAACAAAAAAACAACAACAAAAAAAAAAACCACTCCAAACCTCAGCACTCAGTGCAAATGTCCATGGATCCCAGAGAACTCACCCTACTCAAGTCCAAACAAATTAAATCCAAAGTTCTTTCCTGACATTTGCATGCATGTTCCCGCTTTCAGATGTCCCACCATTGTCTTTCTGGGAAATGGGAACTACATCTTTGTTGACCAAAAACCAGAGTGTCAAACAAACTCTCTTCTAAGGTCTTCCACGCGTGCTCTCCACTAGCTCCTTAACTCTCCTGTTTTCAGCAACCTTTCTTTTCACCTCACTTCCAAAAGTTCCCGTTGTTCAGTCACAACATGAAGCACTGCTGACACTGGCAGCATCACCAACAACCACTGCACGTTGCTGCAGATAAAATGCAGTAATGCCTTACACAGATTCCACCTGCATGTCCGTGTCCAGTCAAAAACTAACACCCCCAGACCCAAAAGAACTATCTGTGCCTCTTTCGTCATAATCCACTTTCCCCATAGTCGTTCTTTGTGGACACCCCACCTAGACCTGACAATTCCTTGAACTTTGGACCCATTCAACTTAAGCGTTAAGCCCCCAAGGAGATAGTGCCTCTGATTTACCACTTGCACAGAATCAAAGAGCAGGACATTAGCTATTCCTTTTCACGCTGCTGAAATCATTAGGCACTTTTGCAAGTGGTACAGTGGAAGAAAATACTTTAAAAACACACAAATACAGAGGGGAAAAAGAAATGACCAACAATTACTAACTACAGGCAAGCACAACACATGAAAACAGCATGCAGGATGTCCTGCACCATGGAAGAGAAGCATCCCTCCCAGCCTTACCTGCACACCAGGGTCGCGATAATGACACACCATGCTGTACAGCAGCAGTCGGCATTCAAGTGTTCTTCGCTCTTTCGGTGGCGGCAGCAGAGCCAGAAGGAGTAGAACAAGAGGAAGAGCAGGTCCAGAGCCAGGCAGGAGAGCGCGATGCCACCCAGCAGCAGCAGAGCCTGCGGGAAACAAAACCCATCGTTACCCACAGCTGCCATCATTGCCCACAGTGCAGGCTGCAAGCAAAGCCCAGAGGCCTCAGCAGAGATGCAGTGCTAAAGGCCAACTCTGGAAACCAGTTGTTGGCTAGGGGTTTCTGCTTTGTTTTCAGAAGCCAAAAACAGGAGACATGCAGCCTCACTTCCTCCTCCTGCCTCTACTCAGTGACACCACATCCTGCCTTCGAACCACAAGGAGCTGAGCCATTTTGTCCAACCCGGTCTGCAAACAGTCAAAGTCAATCAGGGATGGTTTCCTCTTTGCTCCAGATCAGAGGTCAGCAGATTTAGAGAGAGGAAAAAAAATAAATAAACAGTTCAGCCAGCTGCCTCTATCTGTACAGTCCTTTAATCCTCATGAATAAATATGCAGGGCTCTTCATTAGAAATCCAAGTGCATGAGTAGGTCTGAAAGGGGGTGGAATTTATTATACATGCGATTGAATTAAAAAGAAAAAAAGAATGCCCATGCAACTCTTCTATTCTAGATAGGCCTAGAATAAATGCTAAACCCTCCATCTACCACCCATCCACTTACAAATATACAGTAAAACTAATGCGGGTGCTACAGACACAGCAGCTCAGAGTAGTCACAAGCGGAGGTACTGTCACACCTATTTCTATTCAGATGTTCCCTGGGAGGAAAGGAAAGCCTTAAGTGGTTAACTCCATTCCAATTGTTTTGTATTCAGAAAATCCTGGCCCAAATGCCAAAATGCAAAACTGCTTCATTGAATAAAAAGCAAAATCAGTTCTAACACCAAATCCAGTCACCCTGTCTCATGTGAACGAATGAATGAATGAAATTACGGATGTTATTTCATGTAGAAGAGTTTGAGGGCAAACCTTGCATAGCGGTGACGAACACCAACAAACTGTATAGTTAAAGCCCCAAGTTTCATCACTGCCCTAACATGAGAAAGGCAGGCACAGATCAGTATCAGCAAATGTAACACAAAAGTTTAGGCATTTTTAATTAGCATCTCTTTTCCTCCTTAGGAATGCCACACTTGCAGTAAGATTCTCAACAATGTTTATGAGTACTTCTAAACCAGACTGGTAACAAGTTCCTCTTCAAAAAGTTGTTCTTTCCCTTCCTTCCCCCCAAGCTCGCTGTGTAGGTACTCCCAGCTGAGTTATTATCTTGGCAAGCTACATGAGCCACACAACACTGGAACATACTTCCCAGCCAAGCCAACATCAGTGTTTACAGCTGTAGTGCCCATCAACCATTCATAATGAGATTCATACTCATTAGGGCTGTCTGCTGCATCACAGATATTCCATGTTGTACCGTGCTGCTCGCCTTTGCAGCCCAAAGGAACCAACCCAAAGCTCAGCAGCCGTGCCAGGGATGCAGAGCACCTACAGGTGCAGCTTTCCCAAACTAAACAGCTGAAACTCCGTTCTCCTATAGGAACTGACCCTGGGGTTTTTTTTTTGAGAAAGAGAGAGAAAGAAGTGGGGGTGGAAGGGAAAAAGCACAATCCCCCTTTCCCATGATTATGCCAGATGGTGCGCGCTGTTCGAGTTCCTGAGCAGAAAGAGGCCTTCGAGAGGGAAGCTGCCTTCAGAGACCCAAAGTTCTCCCACTTCTGAAGGCCTGCCATGCACAAGCACTCAATACTAAATTAACCAACACATTCGGCGTACCAAAGCTCCTTGGGGACGTTGGTTGTTTTTTAAACACTTCAGGCTGCTGTAACGCCAAGCTTTCCTGCACTGCATGCCTGCACTTCTTCGCTCACACCCTCAGCCCTCCCGCACGCACCAGCAGGCACTGCTGCTGGAAAGCAGAGCTCACCAAAAAGCTTCTCCCACAGACTCTTTATCAGCAAAAAAAAAAACGTCACTGCAGCTCCAGATGTGGAGGAACAGATCCCTTCAAATGGGGGAAAAAAGAAAAGAAAATAACAAACACCTAAAAAGACTGCTATGCACCAAGCAACCTGAAGTGCTCACTTTGAAGGGATGCTTTAACGTGTGCTGAATGTAAGCATTTAGCCAAAAGGACTTGGCTGGCCAGTGCACCAAGATCTGCATTTCATTTTCCAGAGAATATTTGTTTTCCATTAATGGATATGTGCCATGACAACAAGTGAAATCATCCAGCAGAGCAGTTATTAATCTTTCTGACTGATGAGTCAGTGTAAGACCCAGAGACTGGCTGGCAGTGAAAGCCTGGTTGCAACCACAGATATGCCTGTGCCTGCTTCTCAGGATTAAATAACAGTATTTAAAAAGGGAGGTTGAGGTTGGATAAGCCCTCAGACATTTTATCCTGCAACACTAAATCTGGGACTCGGTTATCCAAGGCCACATTATCCCAAGTAAATGTAAAGTTATGCACTGGGCCTTTTGCCACAAAAGAGCATCAATTTGTCTTTGAACATTTGCTGAACTATCAGAACCTTTATCACAAATGATGCATGAACTGCCCTTACAGGAAAACGAAGACAACTTGGAGGAGCAACATTTTACCACTGTGCTGACACTAATGGCAGAAGTGGAGACAGAGCAGTCCCTGAAAATGAGTGTAAATCCAAGTGGTATCAGCCAGGATGGCAGGAGACAGAGTGTTCGGAAGCTCTTTCAAAATAAAAGTACATGGGGAAGTAACCAAGAGCGGCACTGTTAGGTTGGAAAGGCGCTGTGAAACCTGAACGCTCTTGGTCTCGTGCAGGAACGTGCTCAGCAGCCTCCTGCAGTGTTAACAGCCTTCCTCAGCTCTGACTGGCTGCCAGGGTTCATGGCATTCACCCTCTCAATATGGATAAGAAGCCAAAAGGGGCAGAAAACATCTAGGCTCCCTTGCAGAGAGGCACCATCACAGTAGGAAATACAGGGCACGGCGAGAAGCTCCCCCCACAGAAACACCCCTGTACTGATGAGCTCCATTGAGCCAGGAGCTAGCGCACTGCACTGGGGTACCTTCAGGTGCCAATACTGCACCCCGAGGACATACATGCTGACTGGCCTTAAGTGCAGCACAATTCAAAGCCTCCAGGACCACAGCTTCTGTTCCTGCAGACAGATTCAACCAACATGCAGCCCTGTCTATTGGATGATAAATGTCCACGCAAAACAGCTGTTTGCAGCTCTCTCCAACCACAAGTTCCCAACTGTGATCTACATCATTACATACATGAATGTCTCTCTCATCTTCCTGGTCCTGGTAGGCTAATTTCTGCTCCTGAAACTGCACTTCAGGGACGGATACTCCATTACATCCTCCCCAGCAGGAAGTGTCCTCACATAAGAAATTGCCATCGCAAATGCAGTCAAGAAAGGGAATATCAATCCGCACAACAGAAATGGGCTATACAAGGCACATCTGAGTACATTTCCTAATAGAGGGAAGCTCAAAATAAAGATAAAGCGCTACAAAACAGGAGGTGAGTGTTGGACCGCACTCACAGGAGTGTCAAGAACTAACATTGCCAGAAGAGCTGCTGGTTCATCACCTGACTACAGAGGAGTGATGGCTGAGCGAGTCCTCCCACCTCCACCCCTCCCTGCCACAAAGGTTACTTGGCACAATAAATCCTGGCACCACCACAGGGTTAGAAAGTCAATCCTGAATAAGCACATGGATTATTTCGAATCAGTGTGTATTAACTGAAGTTTTACTCATTTCAACCAATCCAGCTTCCAATCACCTCATTTTCTTGACCTGAACTATATTAGCAGCAGCGTGGCATAGTGAACAACTATTCACATGGAAGAGGCGATAGTTATTTCTGGATAGCATTGCTATTTTATTGCTAGTCATAAAGTCCACTCAAACCTCAAGAAGAAACTTGAGACCAAAGCTGAAAGCCCTCAGGTGGTTCCCAAAAATCATGCCATTTTCCTTTTAATCTTGCATCAATACTTTAAAAATTATTTCCTCTTAAACTTTGCAATTCCAACCCACAGGACAAAATAGGAAATCCAACAGCTACAGCTTTTGAGCATCTCAACAACAGGGCTGTATTAATCATTGCCAGATTGAAAACCCTTTTATAGTTCTACCTTAAAGCTAGCATTTGCCAAAAGAAAGCTTTCCACTCAATCTGTAACTAACGTTCCTTCTGGATTTCCATGCAGTGACTTAAGATTGTGATAATAAAACAGACAGAAGAGGTTAAAGGAGTGTGGGAAGAGAAAAACGTTCACCCAGAAGAACAAATGAAGCAAACTGGGCTGCTGCCAAAGCAGCACTCATCTCTATTTATTCCATGAAGGACGGAAGTCTTCTTAAGCAAGAAAAGAAACTTCTGCAGGATAGCATCATGCCCACACTCCTTCCTACTCCTTTTTTGCAGACCTTAGGGCACCTGAAGAGCTTATGTGCTCATAGATAATTACGTCCTACTCAACCAAACTCTGTGTAATGCTGGCAACAGGAGCAACACATTTTGAACCCTCATCAGCTTGTTCTGAATGTGCTGCTGTGAGTCCAGAGACTTGACTTTCATTCCGTACCCCTTCTGATGGAAAGCGTTGCATGTGGCATCCACTGAGGTTCATCCCACGGCCTCTAGAGAAGGGGAAACACAGCCAACCATGTATCAGTGAATCTAATTAGGAAGGGGGGAGGGGGGGGAGTGATGGACATGGAAGCCACTACTGATCTCAGTACTAAACCATCCCTATCTCCTCCGCCTGGGGAACAGGCCTTCCCAGGCCAATTACTGCATTCAACACAGTGGAGAGCCAGGCTGGGCAGGAAACGTGCTGTGGAAGAGCCTTTTCCCACGGTACTGGGATGTATTCTCCTTCATTAGGGATCCCTTGGCAGAGAAGAAGAGCACCATGGAAACAGAGGACAGGTTCTGCTGTCTTATCTCCTTATACAGACATCTCCCAGGGAAAGCACACTGTACAGAAGCGCAGAACTTTATGGATAGATATATTAACAGCAAGTCCACACTGGAGTAGCAATATAGGCCAACACTTCGCCTTTGGCTTTTTTGGCT